TATAATTTTGAGTGTTTATGACGGAAATGTTAATCCTTTAAGATTCTCATATGAAAAATTCAAAACGTACATGAGTAAAGCAAGGATTTTAGTGGTTTTGGATAACAATAGGCAGATCCATCCTCTTATTTATAAAAAAAAAAAAAAAATGATAATTAATCTAGAGATTTAAAAAAATTATGAGGGTTGACCCTATAACATAACCATGTGCCCTTCGCTGAATTTCTCTAAACAAACATAAACCCAGCATTCATGATATTCCCACACATCCCTTTTCCCTTGATTCCCCCCAATCATGATCACAAACATGTCACGAATTCTACTCATTTGGATCTCAGAAGATCCAATATTCTAAATCTTAATTTCTTTGCTTAATTAACAAAGTTAGTGTACATGATAAGCATTTTATTTTAAGAAATAAAACATTTACATCTTCTTCAAAATTAAAAACAATATAATTATAATATTATATAACATTATAAATTTATAATCATGATATTTTTTTATTTAAAAATTTAATTATAATATTATATATTTACTTATTTAAAAACATATCATAATTCTAAAATTTACAATTTTAATTAATATTGTAATTATATAATTGCTGCTCCGAATTGATATACACTTTCCTGCATCATCATGCTTCCTTCGTAAAGTTTTCCACACGACCAAAATCCATTGCCTAGTTCACGTGAAACATGGAACATGAAATTTACATGGCTACATTAGAAATTTAGAATTGACGTAAATCCACGAAACACCAAAAGCTTCCTAGAATGGTATAAATGCTCTTGAGCTTATACACCATGTCTCGATATATGTTAATGCATTTACAAGATCTTTGACGAACTTTGCAGCTAAAAAATTCAAATTTAAGGACAAAATCAGGCATTAAGAGGCATGAAAGGGACAAAAGGTGGTGGGGAGGGGGTCGGCTGAGTTGAATTATAGGGGGAAATGGTGGCAGTAAGTCACATGGATATCCAACAGAAGGGGGTGCAGGGTTAAATACTTTCCCCTGTCAGATGAGATTGTATACATACAAAAGTCTCTTCAGAAAACCAAATGCAATGTCCATTTCCCTCCTAACCCTCTATTTTGTTAATTTGCTTTTTCATTTCCCATCTCCTTGGCTGCTTTCATCTTGGAACGTGTGCTTAGAATCTTCCTCTACACCTTTTTGGCTCTGTCTTTCTTGATGCTTTAATTACCTCCAAAACCAAATTTTGCTCTCTAATTTTGATTCATCCTTAATTTTTGCTTCTCTCATTAGTGGAACTATCTGCATACCACTTCCCATGCAATTTTTAATTGTGATTGTTGCAAAATGCAAATCCATACATGATTCCAAAGCACCCAGTGAGAAATAAAGAAACGAAAGAAGGGCTGTTCTACTCCTCTTTTTTTTTTTTTCCCTTTATTTAAGTTCATGGCCCATGCTACATGCCACTGCAAGAGCTGTAAACCCACTCAGTGGCACATGTACCATAACAAAACAAAAAAAATTAATATAAGAAATTTTCTCTTTTTATTTTTTATTTTTTTGCTTCTAATATGATCCAACCTAGCAAAATGTATCCCAATCACAATCCAGAGAAGTATGGATATTGTATTATTCAGAGCCAACCAATCCACCATACTGATTATTCTGGCTAAAATGAGATGTTGAATTGATGAAGCAAATATGTTCAGTTCTATACAACAAAATCTACAGCCAAAACAAGAATTGAAACTGGGAGGGGGTAAAAAATCCTAATATTCTTCTTAATGTTACTACGAAAAAGACTGATCAAACGCATAAAGGGTATGGGGTGATTGTTTTGGGAGATTAATTAATTAACCAATTCATTTCATCTTTGTTCAATGGTAACTTTGCTGCTCAGTCCATGGCCAAAAGCCTTGCTGCTCGTCGATACCATTGAACATGTTGCAGAAGTTCTCTTCTTGAACAACTTGATTCGGGCAATGGCTATCCGGTCTGGATGAGCCCTGGAGGAGTTGAGTCATGCTTGTAGGCCTGATGGATGAGGGGAAGAGTTGTCTGCTGCTTAATTGGGAAGACAAAGCAGTGCTGGTTATTGCTGCTGTTCTTGAGATATCTAAATTCACATCACAACTGTTGTCGCTTCCATTGCTCCAAGAACCCTCATTCTCTTTCTTGAGGCTCACTTCATTTGAATCCTTGGTTTTCAGAGCCAATAACTACAGCATTTCAAAACCAAACAGTCGAATATTATATTAAGCATATTGTGTGCTTGCAGTAAGAACTCAAACCCACCTTCATGCTCTTCCAATGGGGAAAAGAAAGAAAAACTGTGTGTCAGGATCAATAAAATAATTGCAACTATGTCTGCTTTAGAGAATACCAAGAAAAAAAAAACTAATTATTCCTACGAGGTGCTTGCTGACACTGACACATATTCATGTTTATGATCAACTAATCAAAGGCTTAGCAAAATATTAAAATTAATGTAAAATCATGATGACTTTTTGATGATCACAGTCAATGTTGGATCAAGAAGTTAACTAATATAGACATCATGAGTTGTTTTCATGGTTGACATAATGCAGAAGGTCTCTATGTCATACAATTTCAGGTTAAAATATGCTCAAATTCAGTGCCTCTTTACTCAAATGGGAAGGGTTTGATATATTCTCTCAAGATCAAGAGGAATTGAGAAGAGTAAATTAATTTCTAGTTGAAAAAAGGAATCATGCCAAGATCAAATGGTAGCTAGTTCAAGAAGTCTCTTTTTCCATGTACAAACTTGAACACACAGGCATTTTAACAAACAGAAAGCAATCTTATTGATGAAGAAATGATGGGAGAATTCTTAGTTACCTCAGCACTGAGTTTCTTGTTCTGAGCTTGGAGGGCATCATTATCAGCCTTAAGAGCTTCATACTGTTTCTTCAAGGCTTCATAATCTTTCTCCAATTGCTTGGTTTTCCACCTAGCCCTTCTGTTCTGAAACCAGATGGCTATCTGCCGTGGCTGCATCCCCAGAGCCTTTGCCAGCTGCATTTTCCTCTCTGGCTCAAGCTTGTTTCCCAACTCAAAGCTCTTCTCCAGAGCCTTGACCTGCTCCAAATTCAGCCTCTTCTTCTTCTCCCCAAGCTGCGATCCATCATCAGACAACTCATCATCCCCATGAACTTCCTCAGACTTGTCCACACCTGAAAACGACATGGATCTCTTCATCATGAATGGTACACCACCACCACCACCTGAACCAACACAAACATTTAAAAAAGAAAAAAAGAAAAAACCCATCAACTTAAGTCCCCAAAAAACGACAAACAGATGAAGAAACAGAGAAGGAAGCAGAGACCATGGTGAAAGAGCTGAGGAGGGCATGAAGGGAGGGAATTGAGGGAGGTAGGGGAAGGCTTGTCATCATGGGATCGGAAGATGAAAGCATGAGGAGGGAAAGCCATGTCAATATTGCTAAAGATCATTCATGAACTTGGATATTGAAAATGGATGAAATTTAAGAGTCTTTGGATTATGATGGAGTGAGTGTCATATGAGGGTAATGGTTGACAGGTTATAGGGAAGAGGACATGGATGATGGGTGCAGAGAGACTGAAAGACAGCGATTTTTAGGTTGAGAGGGGAGACATGCACAGAGGGAACGAGAGGTGTAAATTGTGTAATATATCACAGATGGGAGCTTTCCTGGACCCATCCTCTGATATGGGCCCTTGTCACTCTCTTTCTCTCTCTCTTCTCTCTCCGAAAACACTCACACACATGCTTCCATTCAAATTCAACCATTAATCTGTTTAACATACCTAGTAAGGTTTCCTTCCATTCCATGGACACATATTTTAATTGATTCATCAAAACAGTTGTACTAAAGAATGTCTAAACGGTTAAGAACTAAAACTTTCATCATTGTTGCACAGCATAAGATAGCATGAGTTTGTCCTAAATTTTTGAAATTGGTGTAAAGGGATTAATCACAAGGGGATAAATTTGGGGGAAAAGAAAAAAGAATGAAAGCCAGTTTTGGGGTTTGAGGTCAATGATTCAATCATTGGAGATTAGCCAGTACTGTCCTAGTAAATCATGAATGTAAAAGTTAGAAAATTTTTTATAGAGAAAAAAATATGAGAGGATATGTTTAAAAATTGGATGCTTTGTAGACAATCCATGGTTGCCAATTTTTTTAAAATCCTTTCCACTGGACATGTGCTAGATGAGAAAACTAGGCAATATGAAGTCCAGAATCCAAGATTGCATTGGGATGTGTCTCTCACGGTCATTCCATAAACATTCATCTTTTATACGGTGGAACCCTGGAGGGAATGGACTTTGCTTTATTAATCTACTTTATCAACTCAAATCTGCATTGGTTGGAACCATTGTCACCTCATCCTATAAAATTTTTTCTTTACCCTAAACGTCACTTTGTATGGTAAAAAGCCGTAAAAGATTTAAACTTGAAACATTTCAAAATTGTTAACATGGGTATGTTCTTATTTTTTGACATGTTAACTTACAACCAAACATATTTTCCCTTGTGATTAAATTAGTCAACAACCGTGAAAAGACTTTAAAGTATACAACAAAAATGTGAGACAGAAAAACCCCACATGAAATTCTTCCTGCCCTAATATTGTTAGAACATTAACCTCATATATGTTTCTTCAAAATATGTTGCAAATGAAGAGATGATTCCTAATTAATCAAAATAAAGGAGGAGCATCTCCATGTTTTGGCACCCCACTCTAAGTTGAGCCCTGCCTCTATAGCTTTTGAACAGCAAGTACCAAATATGACCTTAAAAATGGAAAATTGTATGGTCTGTTTCATTTATCCATTGATGGACAAATCATTGGTTGCTTTCACTTTTTCAAGTGCTGAGTGTATTCAAGAAGGTACTAAGAAGACCCGCAATTTCATCTTCTTAAATTTGTGGTCGGTTTTTAGGGTTAGGGGCTTCTCCTTTTTTTTCCCTTTTTTTTTTTCTTCTTTTTTTCTTTTTTCCTTTTTTTTTTTTGGCATTATTTTTAGAGGGGTGGGTCCTACAATGTATTGCTTTAGCCTGGCCTACAACAAGCTGCCCACATGGTTTTATTGCAAGTTTAGGGGTACCCCTTTAGAAATGGGGTGGATCCATGTTATTCCCTGTTGCTCACCTCAATATATTTATTCAAGAAGAAAGCATTCTGAATCTTCTCCACATGCCCCACTGTTCCCATGTGCCCTGCTTCTCTTCTTCTTCTTATCTCTCTCTTTTGTGTGTCATTACATGGTTTCTTCTGTTCTTCAACCATATCCTTTTTTATAATGCTAATGTTAATTTAGTACAAATATGGGCACATTATCAACTCAAAGAAATCAATCCAATCTGGAATCAACAACCCAAAGTTTCTTCTGTTGGAAGTTATCTTCCCAATACCCAATTGGAATTTAGAATACATATAGTTTGATTTGGATAACTGCTCTTCTACTGCAGCCCTATATTTGTTTTGTTTTTGAGAATCTCTTCTTCTTGCCCTGTAGGATGTAGCCTCTGCTTAACTTGTCCCTTAGATTTATTTATTTCAGAAAAAAAAAAAAAAAGAAAAGAAAAAGAAAAAAGTGAGAAGCCTAGATAGCTTTGAGATTAATTTACTTTAAACTCCTATGTGCGAGGTTATCAGCATCTTGAAGACCTAAAACTTTTTTCTTTCCTGAAACATTGGTAATGATATAGAGGAAAATCATGACTTTTTGGTAATTTAAATGCCTGGAATAATAAAAAAAAATTAAAATACATTTAATAAATCTACACAAAAATAATTTATTAATAATATTTAAATAAATTCACAAAAGATTCTGTCAAAATGTCATAATTTTCACTTTTTATAGGGCAATCACAACTTTTTTTTTTCTTTTTTAATTCTCTTTATAGGGGGAGGGAGGAAGAGGTTGGGCTAAGGCTTGAACACATGACCTTCAAGCCCTTCTAGCCCCAGCCCCAGGCCCCCAGTGAACATTCACAAAGGCAGGTGGTGACCACCAGCTCCAATGGTGGAGTTCCTTGAGGACCTAAAACTAGAAGCATCTAAGTAGGGCCATTTTGTTCTAAATAATTTGTCTTTTTCAGACCTCAGAGGTGAATAATGCGTCTACATTTCTGAATATCCTTTGTGGAAGAAGACAAATGGATATCAGTAGCCAAAAATGCATTTATTACTTTACTGAAACATCAAAAGTCATTTTGAACCTTTTTTTTTTTTTTTTGAACAATATGAAATTTTTTTGAGGAAAGGAGAAAAGGGACCTAAAATTAAAACTTAAATCTTGATAATCCTAATCACGTCCTGTCCTGCAATGAGGGGCCAGTAGGCCGAAGTGCTGGACAAAAGTCATTTTGAACTTTGAACACACAGCATTTGAAAAAAAAAATGCAAAGGGGCAATTATATTTGTTGTTGGAATTGAAATAGTACGAATCCAACAACTGGGTAATGGGCCTGAGAATGTATTAATCTATTAGAGAAACTGGGAAAGGGCCGAAAGGCATTCCCCAGACTTTCCTGGGCCCTTGTGCCTAATATGTAATAACAAGCCCCTTGGATCTATTGGCCCAATAGCTGGACTGCCAAGTCCCGACTGGAAGGTTGGTCAAGGTCAACATGTAGGTTTGTGGCCTGTGTATCGGGCTTACTTGTTTTGGGTTTCCAAGTGGGCTCATATAGAACAATTGAAGGCCCCTTTACCATATTTTATTGTTCTTTGCATTTTAAGGCATACTTTGTTTTAACAACCCTTCAATTTTCCTTTTTTTTTTTTTTATAGTGTTATAGAGATAACTTTTTTATATTATTTTTTAATATAATTTTTACATATTATTAAATAAATAGATGCATTCAATATTACGGATCTTACATTAATAAAAAAAACTAACTATTTAAATAACATATTATTAAGTTGTACCAAAATGTAATACAAAAAAATTATCCTAAAATCATTTTCCTTTATATATATATATATATAATCAATCTTCTTTTTACATTTTATACTTAACAGTTATGCATGCAATAAAAAAAATATAATAATTTCGCAAAATGCGGAATTTTTACATAAAAAGTCAGACACGTATAGAACTTTGACCATCCAATCTGTAATCCAAAATACATTGAAGCACAATATAAAATTTGTCAAAGCACCTTATAATAAAATACTGTAAAATTTTATTAAAGAAATGGTTGTTAGTGGAAATGATGCAGCGAACTTAGATTAGAAGCCAAGAGCAAACAGACATTCCACCCAAGAACCCATTTACACCCATTTCAATTAGAAAATACGAGAGGGAAAACCCTCCAATCCTATAATCAAGCCGACTAAAAAGTGGTCAAACACATTGGTCTTCATAAATTATTATTTTAGGATCACCACTATTTTTTATATGAAAATTAACTGCCATAACTAAATACATATAAAAATATTATAATTATAATATTATATGATATAAAATTAATGCATATCAATTTTGA